GAAACTTCTAGTGGTTTCACGTTTGAAGGGTCGTTTTCACATTTTATTGGTGATCCAGCTGTTGAGTCATGTTGATAACATCCTCTTCATTCGCCAAAAATCTTGACAACTGTATTCTTCTATCGGTGGGCACGAGGAAGAATGAGCAAATGAAGTCGAGTAGAAGGGTTGTGACGAATGAACTTACCTGCATCGGGTGTTTGGGCTCTAATCACGTAAGAGTCAGAATTTGAAGGCGTTTGTCCGCCTGAGGCGCTACAGTACCACCACTGGGCACTTCTCGAATTGTTATTCTAAGTCCAATTTACTGTGGGAATGATTCCAAACTCGCAGTTAATCGGTAGGCTAATTAGCTTTTCAAGATAAGGCTTCACCGAATAAAACAATACTTTGCGAGGCTTCTTTGACTCACCTAATGGAAGGATGCTGTAGAGGGTGACCAGTTGCTTGACATCGCTAAGTGATGGTTGTGGTTCAATCTGATTAGCTCTCAGTGTGCAGCCCAGATACGAATATTCACCATAGTAGTCGGCGAGGCTTACTTTTTCCACCCGTTTTATGATGTCCTCCATGACTAGCTCTTCGTAAAGTGACTCAAGTGTTCTGAAGAAAGAGGAGTACACAGTTGAAAGCTAAGGCGCACACGTGATATACAAGCACGATCATCATGCTCATACCACAACATGTTATTAGAAAAAAGAAGCCCCGGTTTATCGAATAAAAATCTCTTGCCACCGGAGGATAGAAAACAGTTGCTCTCCCAGGTGGGCATACTGTTAAAAACAGATTAAGTCTTTATTTACTGATGCATTAAATTTAATTGAAATCCGGAACGTCAATACATTTTAAACTAAATTTACATATATATATGTGTGGTAGAAGGATGCTCACCAAAGGGATTATGGGAAATACTCGTCCCATTGTGCCTTGGGGTTCAATATTGGGCCCTGCCAGCAGTCGCACAGTGGTAAGTAGCATATGTAGAAGAGCCAAAAGAAAGTAGATTGGAATAACCAGTTGCGGCTTATTAGCCGTCATCAGCCAGTCATGCCCAACCTCGGGTTTCGCAACCCTTGAGGCCCGAACCAGCCACCAAATAGTTAGAAATCCAACTTCCTAACCACTGAGCCAGGAGCCCTTCGTTCTATCGGTTTTAATCGACAATATGAATCGTGGAGTGGAAGTTTAGCCCAAGGTCCACTACAGCTTATTTAAATGACCGAATATTTGCGCGCGATGAGTAAAATAGTCCAATAGTGCCCAATTGAACACAATCGTCGAATGTATATCAACTGTATATTTTTTCCTTTTCCTGATATGCCTCATTCATTTAACCCTTATAGGCACCTGTCCCGTATCAAGGACCGGTGAGGGTTTTCGGGTGCTATTGTGGACCATAAATTCACATTTTACCAATTACGGTACTACAACATTAACCAATCGCCAACAGAAGCAAACATGCGAGTCCCTAGGTATTTATGCAGGAAAAAGCGATGACAAGAACTACGAACGTATTGTAACAAATTTTCAAGTTTAAGAAAAATGTATCTTCAGGATAAGGTTGCACTACGTCTCAGTGTTGATAGAAAATACGATTATGTTAGCGTAGCGTTGGTAACAGAAGTAGCTGCAGCGAATGGGGAGAGTACGAAGACGTCAGGACAGGCATTCGGGAGTAGAGGGGTCATGTTCTGCATCAACAATAACCTTATTTGTAGCCTCTGGACCGCAATTCCCATTTAAATCAACTGGCTTACCCTATTGATTCCATTTCCGCAGGGTATGGCAGTCAAATTTTAAAAAAATCAAATATTTGCGCGCGATAATTGAAATGGCCCAATAGTGCCCAATTAGACAGAATTGTCAACTCTATATCAGCTCTATATTAATTGTATACAGAGATGATATAGAATCAAAAAATACGTCTAATTGGACACTATTGGGTCACTTTAATCATCACGCACAAATAGTTGGTTATTTGGTGATTTAAATAATCATTCCTTTTATTTTCTACTTTTATACGCTCTGCTTTTGTTATTTATTTTCATTTTGCCTGATATGCTCCACCCATTTGACCCTTATCACAACCTCTCCTGTACTACAGAAGGATGGGGTTTCGTGTGCTGTTTAGGACCCTAAATTAAACTTTTACTCCCACTTTTCCTCTGGCTATGTTGTCGTTGATTTACCTTTGAAGCATTAAACACGTCTAGTGTATACAAATATAACTAATTTTCGAATGGTGGATCAGCTGTTTCCATTCTCAAAAAAATTTTGAAAATGATAAGATAGGGCGAACGTTTCTATGCTGAAGTTGGTTGAATTCCCCTAGTGGATTTACATTCCCTCTCGCAAAAGGTAAATAACAGATTTGAAAACTGCCTTAACGTGGGCTCAAAATCCCATAAGTTAGTAAAGAAAGGCTAGTTATAAGCCACCGACCGAACAAACGGTATGTTTCTCCTGTTAGATTTTCATTTTCAACCGTTTTGTATAGTTTTGTATGTTTCGCGGTTGGTGCAGTGATTTAGAGGAAATTTATACGTAGTTGTTGTCCGGAATGATTGGAAACTATAATGGTTGCGTGGTGTTTGCATCTAAAGCTAGACTGCCAAATTCCGATAAGCAGAGTAGTAAGTTGCCGAGTGTCGAAGGGGAGGGGGGAGGCTGTGTAGGAAATGGCGAAATATGCCAAAACAAACTGGACCAGAAAATAGCAGAGTAGGCTTATCAAGTAACATATATGATAAGCAGATATGAGCAAGCGTATGCAGAATATAATGAAGATGGGTCGGATCAGATAATCCCAAGAGTGCATCACTGTCCGGTCATTTAATGTGCACAATCAAAAATACAGCATGGCTAAGAATTCGTGCAGCATGCCGACATTCGCAAAATATTATTCCTCAATAGTTAATCGGCATTGAGTAAACTTGTAATACTGATTATCCTGTGGCCTACTCTCAAGTCACTTCAGTCGCAATAAGATTCTGGCTTTTTAACAAGCTTCTTTCTGGCAGATAATAAAGTATGTGCTGTAAAAATGGCTACTTAAGTAGTACGCATTTTTATTATTGCTTTTGACTGCCTTTATAAATCCAAATCTATTTTATGGAAAATATACATAAAAGATTTTCTTGTACTCGTTTGATAACAGATTATGCTTTCTTTAAATTTTATACTCAAAGAAAACGTATCTTTCGGTTTTAAAAGTTTTTGAACTGCCGAATAATTTGGAAACCTACCGACTGCTACACCTGAATTCAAGGTTTAAAAATTGCGTACCGTATACTACCTATTAAAGGAAAAGTAATTTTTGCCAACGTTTTGAGGAAAAAGTCACATAGTTTTCATAACTATTGCAATAGGTGTGGATCATGATGTACACATTATAGGCAGTATCAATAAATTGATGGATACGATGCATCTTGAATGAACACCTCACAATGGTAAAAAAACTCATAATTCGAATTTTTTAAAACCAAATGGTACCCTTTCTTTAAGTATAAAATTTAAAGAAGGCGTCATCTGCTGAAAAACGAGTACACTAATTTTTCATGCATGGTTTCATTAAAATATATTTGAATTTATAAAGACAGTCAAAATCAATAATAAAAATGCATACTTCATAAGCAGCCATTTTTTATAGCATATAATTTCTGTTGGCGGTCAGAGGGAAGCTCGTTGAAAAGCCAGCATCCTGTCGCGACTGAAATAAGTTGGGAATAGGCTACAAGATAATCAGTATTACAACCTTATTCAATGCCGATTAGCGAATGAGTATTACTCTTTCGCAAATGTTGGTATCTTGCACGAATTCTGAGGCATAGTTTATGTAACAAAAGCCACCTGCCAGACAAATTTCCATATATTTTAAAATTAATTCTCGGTCCCGTCTTCTATCCTAAACAGTGCAAACAACTCTACCCCTAGCGTTCTTCTGAAAATCTGATGAAGTTCAATGGTTCGCCTTCTACAAAACATAGAAACGAGACAAAATGGGTGCTTCCTCGCCTGCCCGGCAGCTGGGAGTTGTTATCACGACGAACAAATCGATTAACTCACCGATCGGGAGTTAGGTCCTTTCCCTTTTTGCCCTTTTTCTTCCCCTTCTGCTTTTTGGGCTTCTTCTTTGGAATTCGCTTCTGCTTTTCCTTATCTATCGCGATTTTCAAATTTCGCAGCTCTTGACGCATTAATTCGTCTACCTAATAGTAGGATGGAAAAGGAGATTGAACAGGGCCTGCTACATGACCTTGTCCAGATAACTCGCGGCCCAAATGACCGTAACTGCAGCTAATTAGTCTGTCTGAAAAAGCATACATGGTGATTTAATCAAATGAGACTGTATAAACAGCAGAATTTAATAGATCCATCAGCTGCTTCCTCTGGCTGCATAAGGTGAGTCACGTATGAGTAAATGCAAAAAAATTGAATTCGTACATAAAAGCTCAGTTAGGTCATAGAGCCTGGTCACGAAATCTAATAAATAACGTAAGCATGTCGAGACACTGTGGAAATTAAAGGTGAAGAAGAACGCTAAAGCGAAAAGGTGGGCAGGGAAATGTGTAAATCAGGGAGCCGGATGTTATCATTACGGCCTAAAATGGCAGAACAGTCAGTTCTGGAAAAGCCCGTTTTCATTTCCTCGACCTTTAAGGGTGACGACATTTTAAATGCTATCAAGAGACGCCCACTTAACACCATCGAGGGGGATGTTTTTCTGCCGAACTCACCGTCTGCAATCCAACAAAGCCCCTACCAATTCCATGTGCAAAATACGTCTTGCCAGTGCATACCACTTCAAACTGTGTCAACGAAGTTACATGCACTTGCGAATGCAAGTAGATAGGCCGAACGCAACGGCAACTGGCAACTAGAACTAAAGAGCACTTGTCTAGTTGGCTATAAAAATAGGAAAACAGATCTTCTCGTTCACCCATTACCGAACACCTGCTTGATACGGGTCATTTTCTGAACCCCAAACTAGCTTTCCAACTACTTGCTCGGGCACGAAGAACTCATACCTTGCGCTGCCTGGAGGCAGCCTATATACAGCGGCCACAAACCAACCTATGTAAACAGTTGGATCAGGCAGCGAATCTAACTTTGTAGTGGTAACATCCGGCTTCCGGATCTACGCATTTCCCTGCCACCATTTTCGCTTCAACTTTCTTCCTCACTTTTACTTTCCACAGTGTCTCAAAATGCTTATGTTTCTGTTTAGCCTTCGTGACCAGGTTCTATAGCCTTACTGAACTTTTCTATACGAATTAATTTTTTGTATTTTCTCATATGTTTCTCATGATATGCAGCGAGAGGAAGCAGCTGATGAGCACTCTCGACATTTATTGATCAATTAAATTCTGCTGTTTATGCAATCTTCAAATTTGCACTAGAGAAAAGAGGCTTCAATTGAGACTGACCTTTAGAATATTTAGGCATGTTTTAAACGTTTCTTGGAACGTTTTGGTGGCTGTTGGGTGGGTATTCTATTCAACGTTATCCTCATCCATTAGGCGAAAATTCAAGTAACTGCTCGATTTAGGTTCTAGAATGGTTGAGTTAAAGGCCCGGATATTCATAGCCTTGTAAGTTAAAATTTGCCAATAATCGGCTCGTCAAGGCAATCAATCTTGTTTCACAAAGAGAGCTGTGGGATCCTCTGATCTAGCGAGCAAAGCACACGTCAGCTGAATCTATGTTCGAAACGATTATTTCCATCAAGATGGTACTGCTGGATGGCAAAACGCCAAAAAGAGGAAGAAATGAATACCATTGCCAAAAAATAGGATATAGCCGCACAAGATTAGGATTTTCCTTAAAAATGACCTTGTTTGTTCGCTTCTCTGGTAAAGATATTTACTGCCCAGTTATAGTCCCAGTCATTCTGAGTGTGAATTTTAAATCAGTGCTATAACTTACTGTTGATGTCTAGGCCCCCAAATGTGTTAAAGAACTTCCGAGCCTTAAATATTACTTCTAGTAATCGATCTTCCTTAGGCAGTCTATGGAAGACACAACATTTCAAACAGGCAAACGTGTTAATGAGGCCTTAAAGTAACAGGCACTATTTTCCTCAGAGTACACTAATTTGGTCCGGCAACAACTCTGCATCGTGGATTTCTCGTGGTCCTCTAGTTACTAACCTGTAGTTCAGATACATTTTTAAGTGATCACGAGCAATAGCACCTTGACGACAAATTAAAATGAAAACACTCACGTGAACACGAATCTCCAGGTCAAGCTCAGCCCGCTTATCTGCTTCAATCAGTTCTTCTTCATGTCTTTGGAAAAAATTATTACTTTCGTCGCGATATTTCCAAAGTTCTAAAAAGGAATAGTAAACGCACTAAATTTACGTAACGGAGACCCGAAAAGCGTCCTTATACAAGTACAGACTCATTTTATATAAACTATACACAAGAGTCCCTTGTATCTCGTAGAAACTTATTACTTCCTCAAAGTTTCAATTTGAAGACAGAATAGCTTAGAGTTTAACAAAAATTGCATTTTGCAATTTCTAAGAGTGCGAAATTAATATTTCAACAGTATCGTATTTGTCCGTTTAGAGATGCTGCTTTTGAAGTAAACGATGTAAAGAATATCTATTGCAAACGTTTCTGGGTCAGTTGTAGGAGGTCTTTAGTTGCACATCGAAATAGATCCTGTTTCTTAAATAGAAAATGCTCAACTCCTAATTTGATAGTACAACGAACGATGGAATTCAGACTCTCTCGGAGATTGAAAAACTTTGTTCCTACCATACTATATGGTAGCCTATAGTAGAATATGTGACGTGGACATAATCCAGCAGGAAACAGATACAAGGATAAATCGTTTTGTACATATTTTCTGCGATCCATATTTGAACTTCTAAGGGAAAAGAAGATTAATACGCACTAATTTTATGGTGTGACTTCTTTGGGCGGCCAGGCGAAGACGGTTCACAAATAAACACCCTGATGTGACCGAACTATCTCGGGATTGCGCTGCCTAACAGGTAACTTAGCGATCTTAACCTAGCAATCTCTCCGTCTCTGGGACGGTTTGAAGGAACAAATAGGGATACCGCGCCTGGTCTTCGCACCGAATATGACATGGTACCAACAGAGGTTAGTTGTCCTCGAGTGAGAGCAGGAACAGCGACGATCTCGACTAAAGGTACGTTGAGGGGAACCAGCAGAGCGATACAGATGCAAAGTCGCTGATAATCGAGCTATCTGTGCCTTGACCTCAGCCAGAGGAGGTTGAAACAGCGGAGGTCGTGAGATCTGCGAAACCGCAAATGGACGCAGGCGCTGAACCCCCCTCATATGATCGGTCACTTCCGCGAGTTTTGAGATATCTAGGTCATCTGAGGCGGAAGCCAAGATTGTTTGCACTTCTGCTCTGCCCATACGGAACCGGGCCAAAAGGGCGTGGTGGCTACAGTCTATCGCAGTGGGTTAAGTTAATAGGTAAAACACTTGCCAGTGCGATCTTCAGGTCTGCTTCTGTGTGGGAAGAGGAGAAGTAGGACGCCAGATGGGAGGAATAATATATTCTGTATAGAACTAGTAGAAAATAGGTTGGAAGATGCTGAAAGTCGGAAAAGCGTGCGTCCGACCGTGAGAGCCGGTATCCAAAGTATGTGAGCGTGGTAGACGTCACAGTAAGATTTTATGCGATTCAGTCTTAAATGTGATTGGCCAGACCGGACTGGGGTCGGCAAACAATAGTGCGCAACTGCTAGCAGCCGTGAAAGGCAAAAGACTCAGCATGTACTCGGTCACTACAGGTCTTCCATAATAATTTAAGCTGTCGCGATATGTCACTTAACGTTGCTGCAGCGATCCTCAAATCCATCCACTAACCTACCGGTTTCCGTGCGTTAGAACTCGTCAATCTCTACAGGACGATTTCTACGAGGGATCTAGAAGCGAAGATATATATGCAGACGCATCGTTGTTTCCAGACAAGGTCTATTCTCCCCTTTAGAACTTGGTCGCTTGTTTAGAAATTCGGCCTTCATTTCCCTGGCTCAATGAGAAAGTAGTGCATGGAAATTAAATGACCTGATATGGCAGACTTAGCCTTCATCTGTAATCACTATCAACACACAACTTCGTTGATGTTATAAGGTTTTGCTGTAATTTGCTCAATATAGTTGAGTGAAAAATAAGTTTACGCATCTGAACTCCCGAGTTATCAAATAAAAATCCCAAGAATTAGAAAAAATGTAAAGAAATTAAATCTAGGCGTGTTCCGATGTTATTAAGGCCTTAAGTGATGGAACTCATGAGCATGACCTTTCCTCTAAAAACGCTTTAGCCATGGAAATGACCACCTTGTGGTTATTAGTGCTATTTTTAGAGCACTCCAGGGAAAAAAATAACGCAGATAGCGAATGCCACTTCTAACACCTGAAAAACATAATAAGAAATGTAACAAACCCCTAGAACGTACGTTCGTATTCATTGCAACCACTCCGGAGGTCTTCAAGGAATACCGATGGTGCTATCATCCAACCCTCGGGTTCATCCTAGGTAAAATGTCAGCTGTTTTATTATAAGATTATTGATGTCTGACACGAATTAACGTGACATAATCAAACGTTTCTGAAGGGTAAAAATTCGTAAATCGAATCAACCGCCTCACAAAACCTTACGCCTTAAGCCGCTTTGCAAACAAATAACAGAATAAGGGGGTCAGAATATCCACTGCGCAACCTCCTCTAACAGGAACGAAATTGAGAACCCAGTTCCTTTCAATAATGAAAGGACGAACCACATGACTACCCATTTAATCAAGCTTTGGTTCTATAAATAAGCAAGCATCTGTATTCTGGGGCTCTTCATCATGGATTCTCCCGTTTCTCCTCAGCCAGAAGCCAAACATATAAGGGTCATCAACGTTTTAGTCACGCCCAAAACGACTACGATTCTTGAGCTGTAGGCTAAGCACGGTCGTTTATTGTGCTACAGCAGGCTAGCCTCTCTCCAGTTCTTCTGTATAAATTTATATATATATTCATACTGAAATAGATGCATACCGATCCGCTGACTTCTCGAAGTAAACAAGCTGTGAATATCTGGCAGAGTGCACGAACGGTCAACGAACTACCAGACCGAACCCAGTCAAGATAAGGACTTATTGCGGCCGAGTTCGGCGTGGCCGGTGATTGTCTATTGAAAACGTTTTGCTTCGTGGAGGCAGTGATCAGTGTTAGTGTGTCAATTGCGCGAGCATTTCCTTAAATTTGAAGCCTTACACTGCCCAAATATGCAAAACGGACAGTTAGAAATATATTGGCTGCAAGGAACAGTAGGATCACCGTAATCTCATTCAAATACTAGTTAAGTGTTTAGTTGTGAAATGGGAGGCAGATTCTCCTCCTTTTATGCTTTCATTTACTGCAAGATGAATAACAACCTGACGGGAACAACGTACGAGAAACCGACCAAAAGACTACACGTATAAAGCTACCATAAATAACATTCTATGAATCAAAGAGTGATGCACACGCACAAGCTCAGCAGTCGAGAAACGCAACCAAACTTTTTCAAGAGGTTGTCAGGGCTAACGAAAACCTGGTGGCGGGGTGAGGGGAGGATATTTCGAGAAAACAAGATATGCCAAAGGAATATATCTGGTAGAGCAGAAAAGCCCAAAAATGGTGCGGGATCCCGTCTATGAAAAGACACCCCGAGACAGTGATAAGATCCATTG